TTGTAACCGCATAGTTAAAATTTAAAAGCTTTTAAACCGAGATAAATTATGCGCAAACGTTAATTATTACCCACAAAATATATTGAAATGATGTATGTATATAATTATTTTTATCTGCTTATTTAAAGAAAGATTTTAATTAGCATAAAACACAATTTAAAAAATGTAAATATTAGAAAAAATTATTATTTTCCAGACAGCAAGTCGTGATAAATTATGATGTATTATCATTACGACTTACGACTTACTTATTCAGTCGTTGTCGGATATTGTCAAATAACTTTGTACAGCGATTTTTGATCAGTTAGGTAATAACCGTTCGTAGAAAATCGATATTTATCGTTAGTTATTAGGTAATATTATTTAACTTCCATATAAGTAAATAACAACCTACTTGAATACTGCAGTAGTTAACTGCAAAAGTGTCCTTTAAGAAGATTAAAGGAATGTACCTATAAAGAATCTCAATTTCAAAATACGTACCTACCTATTGGGTATAATATATAATCAATATTCGTAAGTGCTGCAAATTTAAGGATTTTTCGTTTTCGAGTTCATATAAGTGAATTTACATTTTATGGTTTTTTAGAAAATAGATTTCACTGCTTTTGACTTATCAATTATCATAAACTGCCATATTGGTTGTGGTTGTCACGAGTTGGCCCTAAAAAATTGTTTTTATCATACACACACACCTACCTATAGAAAAGAGCTACCTATTTAATATTATTAAAATGAGATTTTCGTTCACTTCAGAACTTTCTAGACCGACATTTTCATGCAATTTTTTTTCTCTTTCTCGAATTCGTACAGACCGTCGACATAGATAGCCAGGTGCTTAACAATATATAACTCTGGCCAATATAGGAAACGGAAACGAACAAAATAACAACTTAAATAAGTACACTGAACCACTGCCAGACTGCAATTTTAAGTACCTATATATAAATATATAATATTATATTGGATTTATGGTTGTAATATATAGCTATTAATTAATCTTTTGTCGACTCCGATTGTGTACCTACACCGTATAATATTAAGGGCCCGGTGCAGTAATACCGGGTATCTCAAGTTTTTTCGAAATGCGTGTTTTAAACATATTCTGATTGTGAAAATGTTCAATTTTGTCTACATTCAGGTGTAATAACGATATATCTCTGGCTGACAATTTGATGCATACTCATCCATGATGTCCCGATCTGCCCGATTAACCAGTGGCACCCATTTATATATAAATAATAATAAAAATAATAATACTAATTTATAATCTGCAGTCTGCACCCAATGGCAACCATTTATAAACAAAAAACAGTTTCACTTTCCACCGTGAATCACAAGATCCCTGTATGACCATTGACCACCTCTTTGTAATGCGAATATCGGAAAATCTTTTCTTTTGCACATCTAGATCATTAGGGGAACCTGCACTATTCCAAATGTCAAGTTCGTACGTTTTGTATTTTTGCGCCAATAATGTTGTGTATTCAAATTTGATTTTGCTTGATAGGTGGCACCACTATTGTATTCTTACAACCCCTTATTTTCCCCTTTAGGGGAAGAATTTCCATAATTCCTTTCATAGCGGACGCTAACGACAATAATAGCTATCTGTATGGCAAATTTCAGCCAGATCCGTCCAGAGATTTAGGCTGTGTGTAAGTACTAAGTGCGTTGATAGATCAGTCAGCCTTATCTTTTTATATATATAGAATACCTACTTCACGCAATGATGTTTATTATATTATTACTAAATCTAAATCGGAATATTGTGTTCACAAGTGTAGCCGGAAACGAGTGATAAAAAAGACCCAGTAGGGTACCACATATGTACTCGAAATCACCTCTCCCGATCACAAATTCAGATATTTATTAATTTGTGCTCCCGACACCACTGCAGTGTTAAACAGACAACAGTAAACACTACACAACTAAACAGTATAAGGCTGTACGATACACTATACAGTTAATATCACCGTACTGTGTCGGTTTATCACAAAATAACTATTTTCTCGGTTAAATAAAAATGTATTGACATTCATAGAAAAAAATCTAAGAACATTGGAAACCAACTGAAAATGTCAATAAAATTTTATTGAAAATGTCTTAAACAGTTCAGAACAAATCAAAATATTTTGAAAATTTTATTGTGAAGGTTAGGTACCTCATAGAAAATGTTAATATAAACAACCAGTGAAAATTTCATGTATCTACGTTCATTTCTTTTAGAGTTAGGTACACCATAAACCAAAATCGATTTTGCGTAAAAATTTCCATTTTTCCTTAATTTTTAATTTGCTTTAGAAAACTATTGGGAATTTTAAATGTTGACCTTCCGAATGCACTAACTAGATTTACTTTCCCATCGAACAAGATACTGTTGAAGAAAATTGAAGCAGTTTTACTTCCCCGACCAGTAATGACAGACACAAAAAAATAAAAATAAAACACACATCATTGTAAAATCAATACATTCATCGCTCCGCTAACATCAATCTAAAATATATAATCTGTAATCTTTAAACACTTAATGAATAGGGTAAGACAGTTATTCCAACATGATTATATATTAACATGGCACTAATGCACTAATATCGATGTACCTACTTACAATAATAATTAATATTGTCATTATGTTTAATTAATTAGTAGTTATTAAAGGTACACTGCATTTATAAACACACTTTTTATTTTAAATATAACTATTACATAATAAAACACAAAGATTAAATATTGTACAAATTATAGATACATATATAGTTAAGCAATTAATTATATCTACTCCGATTACTTTTCACAAATACAAAATTCTACAACTGAACATTAATAGTTTTTTACTTAGTATAGTAAATTACACGAACCTCACCTTTCAACGAAGCTGAACTACACAATCTAATTTAATATACATTACTACCTAAGAAAGCAATGTACAAATATAAATATAATATGATAACAATGTAATGTAATGTAAATATTATACCACTGGCGAGTAGTTGATGCCATTAAAAAAAATAGATACACTAAAACGTACATAATATTTAGTATTTATAATCAATGCTAATGTTATGACTATAAATTGTTCCTTGTTATTATTTAACATTAGAAAAAAAAACACTGGTACATTTAAGTTTGAATATGTATTAATGGGAAAATATTTTTTATTTAAGTGACTTAATTTAACACAATATTTTACAAATCTTTCAAAGATTTAGTTAAGACAATATAATATATAATTATGGAACAGAACAGTTATTAAATTACTATTTTAATCTATAGGTAGGTATGCTAATAGCCTTTAATTTAAGTTTACTTTGAGTTAAAAATTTAAAATATTAACTTTAACAAATTAAAAATTATATAATTCTTACTTAAGTAGATTTATATGATAGTATTTTCATAATGATTAAGCTTAACTACTGTCAAATACGTCAATCGCTTCCAACACCCATTATTAAATACACATAATTTTACTATACTAGAACACTCAATTACTTTTTCAAGAACCCACATTTTTCCACTCCTATCACTTATTAGTTATTACTAGGGCTCGGGACTTAAAGCATTTGCTTATTTTTATAGATTGACTTAAAATGTATGTCATGTTACAACACATTCAATTATGAAATTTGAGTGTTTTTTTTTGCTTTTTTCAAAAAAATGCTTATTTCAAGTTTTTCTGATAATTATTGCTTTTTTGACCAGTTTTTATACTTTTTTATGATTTTCTACTGCAAAGTTGTTTTTGATAGAATTAAAACTAAAAAAATTTATTAAAAAATTATAAAAATTATTAATTTTTTTTCAACTATTTGTAAACATTTTATTTTTCAGAAAATCCCTGGGAAAATCCATAAAATTCTCAGTCCTGAAAATGAAGTTTAATTTTTTTATAATATAAAGATAAAGTTTTATTTTTTATTTTATTGTTTTTTTTTTTTTTTTAATAAATATTTTTGCTTAAATTTAGGTTTTTTAAATGCTTATTTGAGTGCTTATAATGATGTTTTTAAGTGCTTATTTTAATGATTTTAAGTGCTTTAAGTCCCGAGCCCTGGTTATTACATATGACGTAAATTCTTAACCTAGTTAATAGTTTTAATATGTATGATACAACACTACCTAAGTAAATTGTACTTGTGACTTATTATTATTAATTGTACTTATGTAAAACAATACATCAATTGATTATTTGTGTTTTTCTAAATAAATTATAATGTACTTTCAATTTAATATAGTCTTTACTTAATTTTTAAGCCAAATTCAATTAAAACAATAATTAATAAATTAATTTATATCAAAGTAAATAAAAAAAAAATGATCATCACTAGACTGGAGCAAGTTTTTTTTAAATTAGATAATAATTGTTAATAATTCAATAATTAGAGCAGAATGATAAATATACTGTATTCATAATAAGTTGTATGGAAGCAAATTATGTAAAACACTATATATTTGTTTTTAACCCGGCGTTAGTTGCACTAAGGTCAAAACGACCAAACATTTTTATATTTTTATTAAAACATATTATACATTTTATATTTCAATCATTGATACTCAATATAACTTTTAAGAATGTCATTAAAAATATATTTAATTACTTATATATAGATTAAACTAAGATAGAAATGAGATATTATTCATAATATAAATACCTACTACCTATAAATTTAAATACAACTTGTACATTCCTATTTTTTCTAAATATTATCCATTTGATGTAATGGGAATAACTTTTCATAACAGATTAAATTATTTTGTGATTGTATAAAATATTGATTTATTTTAATAAAGTGAATACAAATTAATGAAACAACGTTTCACATGTTCTTGAAAATTATAACGCAGTCAAAAAGACCGTGATGCTACTAATAACACTATATACAAGGGCGCAACTAACATCGGATTAATAGTATACATTCCTTAAATACTATAAGTTGGTAGTATTTTAAAGTAACCTTAAATAATAAAATTAAAATATAATCATGAAATCTTAAGTTGTGTTATGACGAATAGGATTTAGGAATCCACCAAGAGTCCATTACCATTTTCAAAATACCAAATGGTATTAATGAACTCTTACTAGAGTCAAAAGCTTGCAAACAATATAGTTGCAGGTTTACTGGCAACGAACGGCAGTATTTTATAGTGAAACGAGTTCGGCATGCAGTGGAGCATACCATCGGGTAGAGGAGATGTGTATTATTTAGTTTTTCAAAAGCCACACCTATAATATATAAGATTTAATAAGTTAATTAAATTAGCACTGCAATTTAGCTGTATTATTTACCTAACGGAATTCTATTATGGAAAAATTCCAATGTCCCTCTGCACATATCCAATCGAACTCCTATCAATGCTTTACCAAGATCATATCTCTGACCATACATCAAACTTTCTCCGCCGTGGTGTTTGACACCTATGAAGGAAAATAATGCATTATTATAACAGCAAAAAAAAAAAAAAACTGAATACAACCGTTTAACTTACCTTTATAAGAATATCCCCACGATTTCTCATCCGATCCTATTAGACTAGTATATTCGTTTTTAGAGCTCTCCAAGTCGAAATCTTTTGTGCCAACACCAACTATCTATGAGTACAGAAATTATTTATCGACCTTTACGAAATATTAAATACAATATGTCTCTTTAACAAAGAACTAAAAGGTTGTAGTGTTACCATGTCGGTGGCCATAAGTGAACCGTCCACTTTGATCTCCCAATAGTAGATATGACCCGGAACGAACGGCATGTCACCACGAACCGCTCCGGTACCACGGCTAGAGTTTGGATGAATTACTACCTTTAACGTGTCGTCTGATATTTTCACATCAGTGTTTGATTCCAAGGGATCCCATCCCCATTCCAAGTCTGACCAATACAATATTAATTATATCGTAACAAGTATATCGCTAAACTACCTATATGGTCCGTTTTAAGCAGCTCGATATACACGTTGGTGTTATACTTACCGTCACCGGCAGTCAGACACTCGTAGTTGGTCGAATTTTGGGGGTCTTGCAACAGTTTATAACTCGACTGGGCCATATTCGTGAGCGATTTGGTTTTCGATTCGAAATAGGTATTTGATGCACGAACGATACACACTCCGTAGACGTCTTTATTTCGTAAATATGTCGTTAATTGTGCACGATGTAGACGGTATCACGGTTAATCGGTCGTAATAATAAAAATCTTGCTTCTGAGTTCTCGGTCACATCGTAGACAAAAATATTCAAAATTATAGAAAATATGGAATCCGAATAACATTCATTATATAGTTGATGTGATATTGTGATGCGATATGTCGTATACCTTTATATAGTGTTTACTGTTTACCACGGATAAACACGACCACTCAGCGCCACCTGTTGTTTCTAGAACATTCTATAATTCTATGCACGAATACTCCACAGACACGTCCGCTAGATGACGCTGTTACTGTACCCGCGTGAATTTAAGATTTTTCTCCCGCTTTCGATAATATCGTCTGAGATCATCCGATCGTCCGGACCGCATATAATTATAATAAATTACTATTATTGACTGTTTTAATTAATTAAATCGTTAAACTACACCTACGAAATGTATCCATCGAACATAGTATTATTACTCACCACTCAAATACGAACCGATTAAAAACATTAGAAAAAATTGTAATATCAAATTAATAAAATAAATAAGTAATTATAGGTAATTAAAATACTGATATCGATAAAGCCTCATAAACGCTGTGTATAACTAATTATTCGTATTCTTATTTCAATTTGATTTCTCACAAAGTTACAAATAAATTTAAATTTCAATGTTTTTTTTTACTGTTTAATCGAATGACTTCTTATTTTGAATATTGGCGTGTGTAATAATATAGATTTTGTGTTTAATTAATACAAAAAGGTTTAAGTATACTTTAATGATAGGCTTTTTTATTTATCATGATAATCTTCGGCATTTGAACCGTTGGCTAACATTTTTTTACTTATATCTTATTTTTTTTTTATTAATAAAAAAAATAATATTGTGTAATAGATAAGTTTGATACTTTTTGAGTTAAATTTGTAAAACATTAAAATGTATGAAGTAAGGAGTACAAACAAAAAAGTTGATTGTTGAAGGAGATAATGTTTCTTATGTTATATAAAGTAAATATATTTTTGGTTTTACAATGATTTTTTTTTGGATAAAATGTCAGGCTGTACACTATATTCTTCGAGTGTCAGATGTCAACAGCTCTAATAGTTTCATATTATAGTTTCATACAGCGTGTATTAACTATTTGCTATACAATTAAATTACAATTTACAATACATATTATATAATGTATTTACATTGGTAGAGTTTTAATTCAAATATTAGAAATCGTAATTAGTTGGTACCAAGTACCTACCTACTTAACTCGTTTAGAGTTAAGATAGGATGTTTTTTGACTGTCTAACTAAATTTTATATATATATATTACTATATTTCATATTTTATATTAATTATATCTATATTTTATACAATTATAGTAGTATTAAAGGAATCTCTACGTCTTTATGAATAGCATAACATGCCAACATTAGACTTCTATTTCCAAGGACACCCGCAGAAGTGACAAAAGCAAAGGGCCATTTCCCACCTGGGAAATTTTAACTACATATAATGTACTTGTAAATCAATAGGGCTCTGATTTGTATGTAATAAAAAAGTCAAAATATGTAAATATATATGTTCTTATTTTTGCCAAAATATGTACTTATTAAAAAATTGAGATGTTATACAAAAAAATCGGTTAGTTAATTTAAATTAATTTTTAACAGAACGTCGCATCTGAATATGTATTTTCCGTATTTTACACACGGATGACATAACAAATTTTCGTTTACTATAGTTTCAATAGGGTGCTGTCAGTTTTGATATTAGAATGCATTGACCTATTATTGAACTTTTAAGTAACAACATTATGTGTCCTTCGTTGGTTTTAGATTCTGAGTGAAACGATGAATGTATTGATTTTACAATGATGTGTGTTTTTTTTTTTCTTATTTTTTTTTGTGTCTGTCATCACGTTTTAGGACAGTAAAAGTGCCTGGATTTTCTTCAACAGTAGCTTTTCTGATAGGAAAGTGAATCTAGTTGGTACTTTGGGGGTAAAAATTTCCCAGTAGTTTTCACAAGCGCCGGGAAAAACAACATAAAAATTAAGGAAAAACGGGAATTTTTACGCAAAAACGGGTTTACCAAAAAATCGATTTTGGTTTTTGTTGTAACTCTAAAGCAAATGAACGTATATACATGAAATTTTCACTGGTTGTTTATAATTGAATTTTCTATGCACGATAACATTTTCAAAATATTTTGATTTATTTTGAACTGTTTAGGGACATTTTCATTTTCCATTTTTTTTTTAGTTTTTTTTCTAGAAATATCAATAAAATTTTATTTGATGGGTTAAAAAAGCTTGAAAATTTAATAGAAGGCTCCTAGTATATTGTTTCAAAGGCAGATGAAAAATATTAAAATTCCTTAGTCACAGTTTTTTTTTATAAGCATTTAAAGTTCAAAAATTGACAAAATAAGTAAAAATCACGAAAGTTAGCAAATTATTTTGAGTTAAGAATTCGTAAAAATTTTTCTTTTTAATTCTAAGATTTTAAAATGTAATACAAGATTCCTTATAAGATTATTTACCTTTATCAAAAAAAAAATGTCTGTAAGAAAGTCAAATTAAATTTTTATGAGCGTTTGAAATTCAAATTTTGACAACATTGGATATTCACTCGATTTCTCATGTAGCGATTTCCTTATTTTGTTGTAATTCAAAAACGAACAACTGTAGACACATGAAAATTTCACTGAATGTTTAAATTAGTATTTTCTATACACCATAACATTTAAATATGTGTATAATATGTCTTATACCTAGACTGACATACTGTCTCCGCTCAGAATCGTTTTTCTTATACAATGATATTATATCGTTGAATTCAAATTTAATATCATCCATTATACAGTGACCCACTTGTAACCTACTATACAACAGAGCGACACCCACTTGCCCACCTTTTGTTAAGATAATTTTTATAAGTGAATTATGAGCATATTTAAATATTAATATTTTACATAATCAATACTCATAACTTACTCCATTAAAATATCGTAAAAAAACTAACAACCAAACACAGATAATGTTGTTAATTGAAAGTTTGATGATGGGTAAATTTACTATAATATCAAAACTGTCAGCACCCTATTAAAACTAGCGAACGAAAATTTGTTATGTCGTATGTGTATAAGACGGAGACAACACATGCGAGTGCGACGTGCTGATGTCCTTTTAATTATTTATCAATGATAATCATTTACAAAAAGTATCCTGTTGTATATATATCTACATATCTACAATTATATCCGATAATTTAGGTTTATTTTATCATATACATTTTTTGAAATTGTAATTGTTAATTATTAATTTATCATCTTAATTGTTGTCTTCTTGGAAACAATTATTATTGGATACAACGTACATTTGAAGATTTTCAATGTTAGGTCTTAAAATTGACTTGTAACGGCTGAGGAGCGTTCAACGTCAACCAAGAATAATGGGTCATATTTCATAGGTAGGTATTAGGTACTTGATTTATCAGATGGTGTTAACTCAATATCTATTGACGTATTTTCATTTTTATTCAGAAAATTATTTCATAATAGTTTTAATTTTTTGTAAAGCAACTTTTTTAGCAAGTAAACCTAATTAATATTTTATTATAACTTCAGATTCTCCTTGAACTTTATTTAATTTGTTTGCTGAATTTTCCACTATTGCAAGACATTCAATTACCTATTGTTAGATTTTATGTCTCTGATTTTTTTATTACTTTTATCAAGAAACAAAAATTTGAGGAAATATATGCTAAATGATTTTTCAGGTCATTATTTTGCATAATATCAGTAGCTTTTGTAGTAGCGATTGCAGTATCTATCAAGATTTGAAATAACTTCTTTAATTTATTCAAAATTGTTGGAATAGTTTTCGACTGCTGCTAACCAATTACCCCATCGAGTAATGATTGGCTAATAAGAAAGGCATAAATTAGGATATAATTTCTTAATTTTAGTACTCTACTAGGAGCTTTTAGAAATACTTTTACTACAGTCGCGATTAATGCATTAACTAAGGGAAACTCTCAACTGTAATCTAACTGTTTCAGCTACACTGTGAAATCAGTGTACTTCACATGTTAAATGTAACATTTTCTGATAGAATTTTTTTAGCTTTAAACCTATACGAAGCTGCGTCCGTTAAGAACAAAAAAATGTTTTTGTACGCCTTGTGGCCTCATTAAAGCCATCGTATACTCGTATCATTAAAAATGCTTGCAATTGTTGGATGATTGCACTTGACATATTATCAATATTACTATAATATACATTACCATCTTGCGCCGGATGGATGCTATACGCATACCGCAGTGGTATGAACTAGAAACATTTATTATATAAAGCAAATAGCAACATATACCGCAGATTTCGTATAAGAAGGTACTCGCCAAATAGATAGCTTGGGATAAAATTGTTCAGTGGTCGTTTATAAATATGAAATGAGTAACTTTACTTTAGAGTATAGTTATAGCCTATACTGTACCTGAATAGTCTATCCATAACGCCGTTAGTTTCCAATAGCATATTACTGAAATAAATAGTAAAATTAACATATTATTGTGTCTTTAGTCTATTAAGACAAAAAGCAATTAGACCCAATATATAATGGTGACGGGAACAAAAAAATAAGGGAAAAGCTTGTGCCGAAAAAATTTAATAACTATAATAATGTATAAATAATATTTATATATATATATTTTTGATATCTTGAACACTAGTGCAATTAACTAATAAGATGACATTTTTGCAGGGCTTGGGTTCAGCTCTACACAAAATATGCAGTTGTAAATTAAAATGTGTATTTGTTATTTAAATTGTGTGCAGTTAAACATAAAAAATATTAAGAATTATGAATAATTGTAATTGTTTATATATTATGTTTTCCAAAATATTAGGAATAATTATGA